AGCAAGAGGCATCTGCAACCATGAGAAAAATAAAAAAAGAGACTGCCCTGAGAGCCAAAGCATCAAAGAAAGAACTTCTGACCTAAGATTCAGATCTCCACGTAAAACATTTCCATCTTTCAATCAACATTTCTGACAAACATTAGCAATGATGGATTGTTTAAAAAAGAAAGTTGATCCAAAAGCTGAGTCAAGCCTGCAAAGTAATTCAAGGACCAAAATGATAAAATCTAACTGTAAACATTGGCCCAAATAACAGATTCATTTTTACATAAATAACAATAAGAACAAGCATCTCTCTCTTCAGATTTAGTCTGTTTCTCCAACTGTATGTTTGGAGCAACTTTTACCACAGGTTGCCAGCAGGCCTGCATCTACAGCTTCAGCATCAAATATTTCAGCTAAAGAAAGAAATTCCATAAACAAACAGTGAAGCCTGCTTCAGTCAGATCCTCTAGAAAAAAAAAAAAAAAAAAAAATCGTAGCAGCCAACAAGGAAAAGGCAAACTTCCAGATGAGGGAGGCAAAGTAGATCTAGTTCAGCATTCCTGCAGCTATCAGATGGTTAACAAATTGAGATGAGAGACTTCTGCGCCTTCCGAGCAACTTTCACTCTGGCAAACTTAAAGGATTCAGAAGCGCAGCTGGAATACATATGGGAGATGCAGGAGAAAGTGGATCATTTGAATTTGTAACTCCATTGTGCGCTGGAAGAACTTCCTGCAGATGAGCTACATCCCATCAGTGACTCAGGGAGACTCTCCGTCTGCTAACAGTCATGAATTTATTCTCTGAACCACCTACCAAAAGCAGCACGGTTTACGTGAGTGATATGTATGTAACAGAAATCTTAAAATAAAGCCTGCAGGGACAATTTCTTTTTTGCTTCCAAATACCTCTATACTAGAGCATCCTCATTGCAGGGATTTAAAAAAAAAAAAAAAAAAAAAAAAAACCACCACAGAACACCACATTATATTGATGAAACAGATCTTATATTTTGATCAAAGTGTTTTACTCAACACAAATTTTTATGCACGAATGCTTTCAAAGCTGAAGTCAAATATATTTTTAGATGACGTTCAGCATTGAAAATAGAACAGACATCATAGTAATGGAACATTATCAAGCCAGATTCACCCTGCCAGGCAGTCAGTTACTGGCTTGCCTGGTTGATCCTCTAATACAATACTTGAAAACTATGCTGCCTTAGTTATTCAGGCATCCTGTCTGGATTACATTTTGCCTTATCAGCAAACACAAGGGCATGCATATGGTCATTTGAAATTAGCACGTTTAAGACACAAAAGCAGGGACAAAGGGAAAACACTACAGATAAGCACGAATGTCCCCTTCTTCAATTTTCCTCCACAGCTGGCCTCACCACTAGAATTGAAAAGATTGCAGCCAGCTGAGAACTGCATCTACTGGAGCCTGTTGGAGAGGTGCACTTGGAGCTAAGAAACAGAGTAGACAACAAAAAGGAGCCATAAAAATCACAGATGTAAATTAATAATCAAATATACACATTCAACAAGCAGACAGATGGCAAGCAATTTTCCCCAGTGTACTTACACTTGTTCTTCTAGTGCCTGTATTTGGGTCACTTGCTAGATTAATTCTCATGGGCAGACCCAACAGAGGTACTGTGCAACAGGCATGGCCTCCGACCATTTCCAAATTATGTAAAATTGACACTACAGCACAAAAGCATTCATTAGGATTTCTTCAATGCAGCTTGTAACACTGTAGCTTTCAAACAAAGCTGTTTGATGTTGTTTCTCCCACCAGCAAGGCTGCCCCACTCAGTCCCATTAAACAGAATGCAGCACAAGCCACAGAGATCTGGCCAGCACTGCCACGTTTCATGGAGGCATCTTTCGAGGAGCCAGAAGTCTGGTAAAACCGGTGCTCCAGAAAATACACACAGTGGGCACAAAGAAGATGCACCACTCAGCGTTAAAGATCCCTCCTAGTGGCCCCCTCAAACCATGGCTTCCTTCCACCATTTGGGAAGACAAAGGAACACTTCAATGGATGAGTAGCTTCTGACACGCACCGCCGCAGCGTATGACCCCAGGACACTCAGAGCACTAAATCTTCCACAGCCCAGCGACAGTCTGACAGGGATCTGTCCTACTTAGCACAGGTTGCGTGAAGGGCCCACAGCTCAGATTGCCTGCTTGGGGTGGGCTCAAGCAGCAAGGAAAAATAATGATGCCAGGCCGTTAGCCTCACTGCAGCCATAGGCTCCCCTCCTGCGATGGGGGTAGATATTAGCCTGAAACAAGGGTTGCATGTGCAGTGACTGGAGATTAGCCCCCCCTTAATCTGGCAAGGAGCTGGATTCAACACAGCGCAATATGTTAGATCTTCAATACATTTGCAGGAATGAAAATTGCATTTCTCCCTACCTCTTCTTACGGCTTCCAAATTGATTTTGCTCAACAGTAAGTAAACGTTTATTAATATGCATTGTGAGCTCATCATGGCATTAGACATGCATCCACCCCTCTCCCTATATTTGTCTCTTCTTTCAGGTTAATGTATGTCATATCCATTTTAAAATTAAAAAGAAAATAAAGCAAAAAGAGAATGAGAAGTATATTTATTTGTTACAAAATGAATAGGGTTATTACTGATTTCCTCCCCAGTAATCTACACATTTTTCTGGAAAACATCACAGTTGCCGTGAAAATTAGAGCAGCAGGGAAGGGGGTGACAAAAGCTCGTTTCCAAGGTACACAGAGAAAACAACAGTGACTCCTCATTACACTGAGCTCGCAGGTTTAGAAGCTGTCACTTCCATTCACACTAATCAATAAGCCAATCGATCTAAGAGATCACATTTGCACTGATTATGCGCATGTCACGTTATCCAGCATGAAAGCGGCAGTGAGTTAGGCAGACTCAAGATGAAAAGTGAGAACGAATACTTTTTAAATTCATTCAATTTCAGTTTCATTGGGTGAAGGCTAGGAAATAAAATATTGAATTCTTTGATATAAAGTCATAAACCTCAGAGTACAAGTAAGCTTGTTACATCACTGCCCGTACAGGCTTTGGTTTGGTGCAGTGCAACCGCTAAAATATTAAGTTTTACCATTGGGAAATTGATTTTGTTCTAAGAAGTTTTTACGATGCCACTTAATCTTAACCAACCTACATAAAAACATAGAGAAAGCAATTACAGACACCCTTTATAAAGTAAGCTTGATCACTATATTAAAAAAAATAAAAAACAACAGTCTGATCTAATTTCAATACACTTGGCAAAGGAAGCAGAAAAAGGTAAAGCAATATGCTGCCCTCATACAGATTGCAGGTTCCTAGCATAAAGGCACAATCTTGATTCACTTAAAGTTAGTATCATGATCCATCTCCCACATGGGGGGACCACGTCCTATAGCTCCAGCATCAACCTCCTTTCCTCTGTTACATTTCAAGTAGGCTCCTGCAGGGCAGCAAGATCCTGTGATTACCATTAAGAGAATCCTTCAGGTCTGAGAGCCCGCCGTTGTCATCCCTAGCCCCAGCAAGCAACAACCTTCCTGCCTTTCCCTTCCAGGACCGCAGTTGAAAGGCACCCTAATTAGATGACCCTGCGTACGGGACTGCCATTAATTGGCTTTTCGAGCACTCTAGTGAATACCTAAACCTTAGTTAAAATGATGAGAAGTGCTCTTTAGTTACAAGGTAAACATATCTGCATAGCTTTGCCTCAGAACACCTTTTAAATAGTATGGGACTAATGTTACAAAGGCAGCATGCAACTATCTTTTCCACCCTCCCCAAGACAATACTCAATACCCCTATTTCCAAGCAGTGTTAAAGCACACCCGGGCAGCAGCAAGAGTAACCTTGACCTCCACACGAACACTATCAGGCAACGCTTCAAACTGCTTTCTACCTCAAGCCAAATTGAACTGGCCTGCAGGACAGGCTTACGTCCTTAAACAACCCAGTTCTGCCCGAATACTGCAGCATACACTGCTTAGGGTTATGCAAATACTCCACTTCTGCAGCTCCCAGCTACAACAAGCGGGTTGAAAGTAGTGTCAGTGTGTCAGAATACTGCTTTCTACTGGTCCAACTCAGTCCCTGCCTAGCAGAATAACGGCTAATTTTTTTTCCCTTATTTTACTGTTCGTGCATTACATTTTCAGATGTTAAAAAGGCGTAAAAAAACAAACCCCTGCCCTTAACCGGAAAGCTCACACAAACACCAGAAACAAGTAATCGCACCACAGGACTTCGTGTCAGCGACGCCAAGGACCGAAGCCCGAGCTGCCCCGCTCCGAGGAGACGCGGCTCCACACCGCCGCAGTCCTGAGGACGTTGTGGGAACGGTGTTGTTCCTCCCGCCGTGGCAGGTGCACCGCCGGCAGCAGCCCGAGGGAGGCGGCCCGGGCTCAGCGCACCGACCGGACGCTGCCTCGTCCCACCCCGCGGGACGGCTCGCACCTCCCGGCAGCACCGCACCGCCTGCCGCCGCCCCACGCAGGGCGCTGCGAGGCACCAACACCAACCCTCGCCACGGGACCCCTCCAGGCGGAGGGGAGGAGAAGGACCGCCGAGAAGCTGTCAAAGTAAATCCCGGCTCGCTTCTCGGATGGTTTAATTCCAACGGCGCATGAAACACCCCAGGACGGTTCATAAGTTTAGCCAGGCGTGCTGTTCTCCCTAATACATTTTAATTACGCATCCGTTCTAACTGCAATCAGATCAAGCCAGCGGAAAAGGCACCAATCGGAATGCCCGGCGGCCAGCCCCGCCCGGCGCTCGCAGGAGCGGCACCTCGTGCCCCGCCGGCACCCCGCTCCCTACTCGGGACGCCCGAAGTCGCGCAGCGCTCGCCAGAACGGCGGGCTGGCAGTGAGCTGTCACGGCCCCGTCAACGTCCCCGCCGCCGGCACCGGCGATCCGGGCTCGCCGGCCCCCCGGCCCCCGTTCCCCCGGCCCGGCCCCACCGCCAGCAGGTGTGCCCCGACCCGCCGTACCTGTCATCGTAGCAGAAGTCGGCGCCCAACGTGTTGAGGTAGAGGGCGAGCCCCAGGGCGCTGCTCACCAACTCTGCGCTCATCTCTCCGCCCGCCGCCGCGCTCGCACCGGGGCAGCTCCCCGCCCCGGCCTCCCGCGCCAGCCCCGAGGCGGCTGCCCCGCCGCCACCGCCGCCGTCTGCCCCCTGGCTCCGCGGGCGCCGCTCCGCGCTCCGCCGGCGGCCGCAGCCTGACGGCGTCCCCCGATCCTCCGCCGCCCCCTAACCCATGGCAGCGGGGCGAGCGGCGGCGAGAGCGCGGCTGAGGGGGGTGCAGCAGCGGCAGTGCCGGTGCCGCCCTCTTCCCACAGCTCCCGGACGCTTCTGCTACCGGTGCTTCTGCCGCCACCACACCACCCAGTCCCGGCCCGCGCCCCCCTCGCTGCCGAGCCGGGCGCCGCTGCCGAGGCTCTGGGAGCGCCCGCGTGGGGCGCCCCGGGCTCCCACCGCGCCTGCGTGCCGGACCGCCCCGTGCCCGCCCCTTCGTGCCGCCCGCCCCGCCCCGTACCCCGCCCCGCGCCCCGCCCGCACCCCGGGCGGCTCCGATCCGACACCGGACCGAGATCCGGCTCCTGCACCGGCAGGGTGCGGCTGCTCCCTGTCCGGCTGCGGCTCGCCTCGATGCTGCCGCCAATCTCGAAATCTTTTTCTTTCTCCGCTTTCCTGCTTTTTTTCTGTGTTCTTTTTGTCCTTTGTGTCTTTTTTTTCTCTGATTTTTTTCTTTTTTTTTCTTCGCTCTCTCCCGCTTTTTCTTTCTTTTCCCATTTTTCTTTAACTTTTTTCCTGCTCCCACCTTTTCCTTCTTCTTCTTCCCCCCTCACCCTATGCCAGCTGCAAACTTGACAGAAAGGAGTCCTACCTATGGCATGGCTGTGATGGAGGGTTCCCTGCTTCTCTCTCTGTCAGAGCGGGCATTGCAGGGACTCCTGGGCTTCCTGTGTTGCAAAACCAAACTAAACCACTGAAAAGTGGCAAGGAAACAAGCACACCCCAAGGCCAGCACTGTGAGCTGGGGCTCCTGGAGAGGCACAGCTGGAGATGGGCAGTATGAGTATCTGCACTAAATGACCTGCTCAGGAAACCCAGCTGTGGGAAATAATGTGCTTAAACCATCCTCAATAATTCATTGGACACAGACACACAGAATTATGGTAAGGGCCTGGGTCCATCAAGCTGATTGTTTCCTTTTTTTTTTTCAGAGTTATTAACATCCTGCCTCCATTTTCTGCCAGCCGCTCCTTTGCAACCTTTCCTGGTGTTTTCTATCAAGTGGCCATCACGCTGCCCCAGAAGAATGGGAGTCTGTACAGTAAGCTGCATCTAATAAAACGGAAAGCTTTTAACAACTTCTCTTACCCTGCTCTGTGATTATTTAACACTGTTCTTAGCAGCTTCACAATATACTAAGTGCATTGAAACCTCTTTCAAGCAGGATTTAAAGTGCTCTTGAGAAGACTGCCCCAAGTGCCACAAACATCCCAGCTGCTTTTCCTCAGGCTCGGGTGTGTGCTCCCACCACCAGACTCAGTAATTGCAGACAGGGTGGGGAGGGCACCCTAAGAGCTTTGAGGGGCCATAGCAGATCACATTGATTTGGAAGCTGTGCATGAAACTTTTCAGCCTGAAGCACAGCATGCAGTAACCCAGATTTTAGGAGCTGGTATGCTGTCAGAACTGCAGTCCTTACGTTTGAACACCAGTTCTCAGAGTCTTCCTGGACCTACTGCCAAGTTCCTGATCATCTTGACTTAGTTCTTGCCACAGTGGGATTGCTAAGCTTCCACACTACAGTTGCACAACTCCTTTTCTGGAACATCCTAATAAACTCCGCATAAAAATCAGCATAATTGCTGCTGAGTCACAGTGGCAGAAGTCTCTCCTTCTCCATAAAGAACGTAAGTGTTTTGTTTTTTTTTTTTCTCAAGGGGCAGGGCTACTGGCTAGGGTGAATGGTTAGAAACAGAATCACAGAAGATCACGAGCTGGAAGGGACCCACAAGGATCATCAAATCCAAAACCTGGATCCACAAAGAGCAACCCAAAATCAAGCCCTGTCTCTGAGAGCGTTGTCCAGATGCTCCTTGAACAGTTTGGGGGTGTGACCATTCTCCTGGGGAGCTTGGTCCAGGGCCTGATCACCCTTTGGTGACCTTTTCTTAACACCCAGCCTGACCCTTCCCTGATTCAGGCCGAAAGCGTTCCCTCAGGCCTTGTCACAGCCATCAGAGACAGAGCTCTGTGCTACCACGAGGCCTCCCCTCAGCCTCCTTAGCTCTGGGCTGAACCAACCAAGGGACCTTGGTCACTCCTCGTACCCTTTGTCCTCCAGACCCTCCATTTGAGGCCCTTCTTTGGATGCTCTGTAATATTTTTATGTCCCTGTTTTGTAGCACCAAAGCTTTAGAAACAAAATAAATTCTCTGGGGATAAAGTTCAGCCAAGTCTGCTGCTGACGAATAAACCCAAATGCACGCTGCCTGTGGTGACCTCAAGCAGCAGCAGGCCTCTGACACCCTGAGCCACTGACAGAGCTGGCACAGCTTTCCTGGATGGAGAACATCTGTTCTGTGGAAAGAGATGGACGGCAACGTGTGTGTGTGTATTGCTCCACCTGGCAGTCCTGGGACCCCATGTGCCAGGCCACACTGAGGCAGCAGGTGCAGAGGTCTGGATGCAGGCTCAGCACAAAAGCAAACAACACAATGGAGAGCTCAAGAGGGTAGAAATCCAAGTATGCTAGGGGAATTCCATCTGTTCTTCGGTTAGTTAAAATAATAAATGCACTGGAACTATGAACAATGTTATCTATTATGCTATCAGGAGATGTCAGATAACATTCTGACTCACAGATTTACTGTGTGACGCACGGTAATCACAAGGTATCAAAAGAGGTAATTTAGAAGTTCAGATATGTCACTTAGCAGCCATTTCCAAAATAACCTTCTCTTCCAGAAACTCATTGTCACAGATTCTGGTATCAGGGAAAAGGGAAGAGGTGGAGGGTTGTAACAACACGTAATAATAACAGTAATTGTGAAGATAACTAGCATGATGCAATCTAACAGCTAATCTATTGTGTATAGCTTAGTAGACAAATTCATATGCTTTATTATTGTTATGGCACTCAGAATGGATCTATTTTAACATCAAGCGGGAAATTTCTTCATCGCATATATTATAGATTCTGATTCAGTGTGCTACAACATCCTTCACCTAAACTATGCCTGAAAGATTAAGTTGTGGCACGGCACGCAGAAATACATGTCTGTCATAGTGACAGATTTGGTTAACCGGTCACTGACTATGAGACCTTAAATGTCAGGGTAATGTATGTGGTGCAGATCCCTCAGCAGATTAGATTAGACACTTCAATTTCTATACAAGGGGTTCATTTGCTGGAGCTTGTAGAAAATGTTTGTGCCAGCTTCCTCTGAGCATCTGAGAAGAGAAAGGCTAGCTGGAAGTGGTTATTAGAATATTAAATGTTACTGTAGGAATAATAAAGTGGATTTTTTTTTTTTTTTTTTTTTTTTTGCCAGTTGTTATGCTCAGATACTATCAAGTAAAAGTGATAACATTGTCCATTTTTTGAACAACCTAGATTACATCCAATGATGTGACTTAATGAGCCCCAGAAATGTAAACTTTGGTGCATCTCAAATCACCCCCTCAGTTGCTGTTGCCAAGGAAAAGCTGGTATTATCTGAGGAAATAAATCAAATTAATTGAATACTTACATGAACATCTGACCTTGTTTTATCAAAGAAGGAGCAAGTGGGGTAGAGAAGAATGTTTCAGCTAAGTGCTTTTTCCAGAATTGCTCACTCATTCACAGAGTCAAGATTGTTTAATTTCCTGGATCAGGATCCAAGCTGTTGTTTTCCTGTCATACTAATATGATCACACTAATTCTCAATAGATCAGCTTTTCTGCTTTCTGTGACATTGTACTTTTTTCTTCTGTTAATGCTATGATAGCAAGAACATCAGCAATGGCAACCAAAGTAAAAATATGTTGCAAATGCTAAACAGTGAAATCTCATGGAAATCTGCATGAAAGGGAGCAGTGAAAACTAAACACATGCAGAAAACAAACAAAACAAAAAAAAAAAGAACACAAGTACATACAGGACTTGCATCAGTATGAAGGAGAGATCTTAGCTGAACACATTTCCTAAGGAAGCACATTTCCAGGAGGCACCAATTCCTGCTTTAGATCAGTCAGTGGAGCTAGAGTATTGCTGCAGAGCTGGAGGGAGAGAGAAAAAATGAGAGAGAGAGAGGGAGAGAGAGAGGGGAAAAGCCAGTGCAGTGCTGGTTTGACCTAATGCAATTACACTGGGTGTCTAGGAAGAAAAAACTTAACTTTCTTGTATGCACCTCACATGCAAATGTGTATGTGTAAATCACAGGTGAGCATATCTTGAAGGAGCTGATTACGCAAAATCACTGTGATTAAAAAGGACAACATATCTTACAGAAAACTTACAGTTAAAACCTAAATATATGAAGGAACCCAAATATCTCATTATTCAGAGAATTCTTCCACTTAGGTGCCAGTGTGAGATTTTTAGGTTTAGCTGACATCAGCTGATGTAGAAACTTGAAGTTTCTAAGTACCTAAGATTACGTAATTAAAGTCCCCTATGTTTTTAGATTTTTGTTACTTGATATTTTCAGAACCACTAAAAAAGACCCTGTATTACTTGAAGCTTTAGCATATTCTGAAGATACATAACGGTTATCAGAGTGAGTGTTTTCTTTCCTCCCAGTACCTGTAAATCTTGAGACAAAGTGTGTTAGGAGTATGCACAGCAGCACAGAGGTAATTCAACACATGACATAGGATACAGGAGGTATCTGCCAAATCAGTGAATGAATTTGAACTGCTGTGTTGTAACCCTGATGTTACTGTACCAACATCAAGCAGTCCTTAACAGTTCATTTTAGTACCATACCATTTATTCAGGAGATAGAAGAGCCATAGCTTCTGCGATTGCAATCAGGGCAAATCAGCATACGTGTAGTCCGGAATCAGATGTCTTCTCCAAATTAGGAACAAAAGGGCAGATTGTGAAC